CTGCGGTGTGGGCGACTGGGCCCCCGACGGCACGCCAGCGCAGAACAACAGCCGATATGGAGCTGATAATGCCAGTCCGGCGAGCAGCCTCCATTCTCAGACATGGGGCGTGTGGTCACTGACTATGTTCTCATCGATAATCTGTGGCATAATAGTTCTGATGATATGAGATGAGCACGAGCATGTTTGATACCACCCCTTTGCACTGGATGGTTTTGGCTGTTGTTGCTTTCTTTTTTTTCCCCCATAAGGCGCAACTCTGGTGTTTAACTGTGTTGTTCCATTGTATATATATTTGTTCTTACGGGGATGGGATTGGACCTGTATCCATCGTTAATTTTTTTGTTTATCCTCCGGTTTCCCTTCTGCAGGACATATTTTGGATACGTATACTTGGAAGGCTTCTTGCTCTAGTGTAGTGACTACTACATATTGAGTTGAGTGCCTGCTTATTCAACTGGGCGCGAGGGATACCCATCCTGTGGCGCGTTGTCAGCGTACAGCAGTCCGAAAAAAAATTGCTTTTTTTTTTCTCACTATCATGTGAGCCTGCATTCTTTTTGGCACCTCTTTTTTGGGATTATTCGACTGGAAATAATATGTTGCTTTTTATCGACTGCTTGGTCTGTCGGTGTCTCACATATTCATCCTGTTTTGCTGTAGGGCAAAAAGAAAGGCAGGAATGAATACTTGTATGTGGTAGTACGATAGTAGGTACTCTCGAACAGGAAAGGGGTCTTGATTACAAAGGACAAAAATTTATTTACGAGAAAAGCATCGTCTCTTGTTCTCATTCTCGCTCAGTAAGATGTAGATTTGTTTCTTCCTTTTTTCTGTCTCAATCAATCAACCAAGCCTTGGTATGTATGTACAGTTTACAAACAGAAATAGCCACCGATCAGTTAGCTAGCTAGCCAGCCAGTCCAGATAAAACATAGCAAAGGCGATATAGGATAGAGTATGTTGTCACATCATGAGCAGCAATGGTAGTAATGATACAGAGCAAAAAAGAAGAGAGAAGAAGAGGGAAAGAGGAAAGGAGATGGGTCTAGCTATAGGTGAGATCTTTTTTAAATCATCTGGTCAACCGCCATTTATCTCCGGTTCTGACGCTGCATTCCCAGGATCTGGACCATCCGGACGAAGATGTTGATGAAGTCGAGTTCCAGGCTGATGCTCTCATTCACCGGGTCCTTCTTGATAATGCCCCTCTGGGCGAGACGGGCGTGGTGCAGGATCCGCTGCACATCATACAGGGTGAAGCCGCCGAACACGGCGAGACCGCCGTACAGCCAGATCCGCTCAGACCACATCAGGGTGCGCGCAGCGGTCGCAGGAAGGACCAGAGGAGCGAGGCCGGAGAGGGCGACGAGAGTGACACCGGCCAGCAGAGGACCGCCCAAGTACAGGTACTTCTCCTGCTTGGCCGTGGCACCGACAAACGCGATCGAGCCCATCATTCCCACCGTGTAGAGACCAGCACGAGCAAGGAGAGCGGGAGACAGGAACATCAGAGGTGACAGGAGAGCGGCCTGGGTCACGTTGAAGCCAGTCCACAGACCGTATTTCAGCATGTAGCTACAAGATGGCATCTCGTTAGAACCGATTCCACATTCACCAACCCTCTGAGGATGCGATGGCGTTACTTACTTCTCAGGAGGAGTGTACATCGTCCCGTACATCGTACCAACACTGGCAACCAGGCCCAATCCGACAACAGCCCATGGGTTCGCAGCCATCAGACGGAAGGTCCATCCGTTGGTGTGCAGCGCCCGAGCGGCAATGGCGATAATACCAACTCCAAGCCCAGTGTGCAGGAACGTCTGGTTCAGATATTCTCGCTCATACGGAGGCATTCCACCATCCTCGCGGGTCTCGCGGTTGAAGATCAGGTTCGCAGCCAGCATCGTTCCGCCCACGATGGCGGCTCCGTACAGGATCTTCTGGCTCAGGTTGCCTGCTTGGGGCACCTGGTAGGTCTCCTGCATGTACGTGCGGCGGAAAGCATTCTGGAAGGTCTGTCTGGATCGGCTGAGGATCAAGGACGATGACAGCACAGGGCCCGACGATGATTTCGGAGATGGCGAGGTCTTGAAAGGCCCGTTGTGGATGAATCGCACGTTGAGGTTCGCGGATCTGGGGGCCTGCTTGAGCGCCGCAGACACGGCGAACGGCCGTCTCAGCATGAAAGCCATGGCTGCACTGCTATGCTGTGACAGCTGTCTTTCAAGCGGTGATGAGAAAAGAGATGGAAGGGAAGAAATCCGAGATCGGGATGATGAGAGAGGTTTAGTATGATATCAAAAGCGATCGATTATTCCGTCAGCGGAGTGACCGGAATGACGTCCGCTTCGGCAACCCGAACGTTCCAGAAGTGCCATGGTTCAGAGCACGTGATGCTGACTCATCTGCGTGGGATTATGTAATCCGATGAAGCACATTCCTGCCAAATGCGTGAAATAGTCATGGTTGCATATGGCTAAATCTGGACATCAGCTCAGGCAGAAGTCTCACGAGCTATCGATAACCTGTTTGGTCGGACATATTTGTCTGACTTTATTTTGTCTTCGAGACATTTGCTCCACAGCTGTCCAGTAAAATTGCCGCCGCTTTTTTTCTTGTGACTGCATATCATCTCTCAAAATGTCGTATTTAGAAACCGTCCATCTCTCTCACCTGCCGAGCAATCTCCCTGTTCATGTTGCGGTCTATCGAGATTTGAAGAATGCAAGTTTTCTTAGGGAACAACTTATTTCCTGCAACTCCGAATTTGAGTATGCCTTTGTCGATGCTAGCATGGTACGCCGCTCGACCATAGATATATAGACACCCCTCTATGTTCGTCCTGGTCTTCTAATGCAACCATAGGTACTGTCAAGAACACATATCCTTGCCGCTGTGTTTAGGGCAGTGAATGACTACTTAAACGGGCGGCTAAAGTCTCGTAATGTTCATTCTGAGATCGTCTTCTCTCTAGGTCCCAGCAACAATGTCTGTCCTTTTTTTCGTGGAGACTACCAGCGGAATTAAACTGACCCGATCCAGATTGCCGACTCCTTTCGCAAGTTTGGCCTGACTGATTCCACCAAAGATTTGCTTGTGGTGAAAGTCTCTGTGAATCCGGACATCACCCACGATTCAGTAGCAGATCATCTGGGAAAAGTGGTTGAAGGAACCCCGGTACCTTTCAATGACGAGACGCTCTCGACTATCTCTGATGTGGGCAAGATCCGTAAAGCATACAAAATCAGCCCCCCAGCGACGAAATCTGCCCCTGGAGGAGCTGCCACCCACGTGAATGGCAGTCTCGATGATACCAGGAGAGATTTGGAAGTCTCAGTCCTGGGCGCAATAGCATTACGAGGAGCATAATGATCATTTTAAGGCTGTTAATCTTTTTTTTGTGGTTTTGACAGCTCGCTACTATGAAATTGTGCAGTTCTTATCGGTCTTCGCTGCCAGACAAGGAAGAAAACTCGTGAAATACCTGGCTCCTGGCGGCATTTTTGGAAAATGGTGCTCATTTCATGCTTCGATCAACATGGGACGACAATCATGGCGGGGATGCGCGCATCATTATTCCAGCTAGATACCTACGGAGACATGATACCCGGATGCTCGAGCATGTGTAAGTAATATCAACACAGTGCTCGCTACACGCGCTGGTTTTCTTAATCCTCTTCTGCGAGGAAGTGCCATAGATAGAGACTGCAACGATGGTCTTTGCTAGAAAATTCGAACCAGCATATAAAAAAGCTCACACCAGGGGTCCTCCCTCCCGGGACCCGCAGATGCTACGAAAACCCCCGCCTATGCTTTTGGCGGGCAGGGATTTTACTACCACTTTTTTTTTTTGGTGGAAATTTGCGTCAGAAACCAGAGGCATTCGAACCAAGGCCGTTTATCTGGATGTTAGTAGGTGTAAGAGACTTAGGCTACTAACCA